TTTTCTTCTTCTTTTCTTCCATTTTGTAGTTATTGTTTATCTTAGGCTTGTGTTGTATGATATTCATTAATATTCTGGACATTCAGATGTCACTGATACTGCTTCATGGTTCCTTTTTGGCAGCCTTGCACGCATGCACCAACGGTTAGTCTAACTTATTATCGTTTATCTCAAACTCAAATTTATCGTGTGAAGTAAAAAATTTGCCAGTTTTGCTGATTCTTACGAGTTTGATGTAATGCAAGCAGGCTGTTACTTTCCACAAATGCAAGAACTTGAAAGTAAAAAACATTACTTTCTTCAACAGCCCACAAATGCACATGGCCTTTACCCACTGTACACATGTAAAGGCTTCACGAATCACAGTTATAGCACCGGCCGATAGCCCAAACACGGATGGGATTCATATAAGTGCATCCACACATTTCAAGCTCGAGGATGTTATTATTGGGACAGGTTTGTGATATTTGTCGTTATTTATAGTGTACGCAAATATGAAATAAATAGATTAATGTCACATATCAGATAAAATCGAGAAAACAATAGTTCACGGAGTGCTTACTGATGTCAGATTGAAACTGCAATACTCAGCTCTTCTGCAAATTTTTATTATTTCTATTTCTAATTGTTTTGGTTGATGAATTGAATTGTTGTCAGGGGATGACTGCTTGTCTACAGTGAGCAACTCTTCCAAGATTCGAGTGAAGAATATAGTTTGCGGGCCAGGCCACGGTATAAGGTAATGCAACTTTTTTTTTTTTTTATTCCCAATTTGAATTATCCTTGTAAAAATCGGTATATAGCAACGGTTTGAACTTATTTGACAGCATTGGGATTTTGGGAAAGTACAATTCATCTTCTTCAGTGAATGATGTTATTGTTAATGGGGCATTTCTGTTCAGCACTGAGAATGGTGTGAGGATCAAAACTTGGCAGGTATATTAGTGATGTTTTTCTCAAGACTCAGCGGTTTTATTTATTTTGTTTTCCTTCCTAAACATTTGTTACAACTTATTAAGGTTCTAACACACCACAGTCATTCAGATTCTGGTTCTCTCTTTGAATTTATTATCTTATTTACTTGTGTTATTAATAGGGTGGCAGCGGGATTGCAAGGAAAATCACGTTCGAGAACATATGGATGAATAATGTCTCGAATCCTATTATAATCGATCAATATTATTGCGACTCATCAACAACTTGTCTGAATCAGGTAACGTCGTGCTTCAACTAATATGTGATTACAAAAAATGCCTTGTGAATTTGTTTAAATTTAGAAAAAAAAAAAGCCAACTATTCATCCTAATTTCAAATTCTGACGTCAAAATTTTCTTCTATTTCATGAACTGTGAAGTTTTCTTAAAAAAAACAAAATTACAAATTCAGAGAAGCAAAGTATTGAGGCTAATCGCGTAAGCCAAATGAGATATTTTCTTTAATTTACCAAAATTTGAGAAATTGCATTTGTATTCGTGATGCAGACTTCATCGGTCAGAATCGACGGTGTAACCTTTCGCAACATCAAAGGGACATCCGCAAAAGAGGAAGCTATTGTATTTGCATGCAGTGATACCTATCCATGCAAAAGGTTATATCTCGAAAATGTTCAAATCATTACATCAACAGATACCGCAAAGTCTTTCTGCTGGGAAGCATATGGGACGAGCTCGGGCCTTGTGTACCCACCCTCTTGCTCTTGCCTCTCGTCTGGTGATATTATTATCCGGCATCAGGTTAAGTCCAACTCGACAAGGTGGAGCAAAGATGATTTTGATGTAGTTTAGGAAGATCAATATATACTCATAGCAGCTCTCTTGCCGTCTTTCTGAATGCATTCAACATTAAATCATAGAAAAAACCCCTGAAGTTGGCTTTTATTGTAGACAAGAATAAAGATAGCACACTCTCAGTTGTGAAAGATCCTGTTCATATTGAGATGTAAGTCATTTAATTTTTACACTCTGGTAAATCCTGTATTTGTTTGTTCATTTAAGGGACAGCTGAATTTTGCTAGTGAAATTATTGTTTGTTATGCACTTTGCTGGTTAATTTTATGCACTCTTTGCATGCCTGACTATGAATATTCTGCACTTTAGTAACAGATATTATTGCCCTTTAATCATTTGAATCGCCTTATGGTTGGGAAAATATTATTGCTAATCGACAACACTAATCAGCCGTAGCAAAAAAGCAAAAGATGAGGATAAATAAACATTTTATTCCCAAGTGATGCAGCTGGAAGCGAGTTCGAATACACGAATAAAAAGAACTAGTAACTTCAATCATACCAACTTTTTTCAGAATTGATATGATCAATATTGCACACATACTTTCCAACACAAATCCGGCTCAACTTTCGAAGGAAAAGTAAGAAGTATAGAAAAAGTACTAACGGACGCCCAGTTTGGGGCAACCAATAGCAAGCGGTAAATCCAAATTATCCACGGTTCTGAAAGTTCTTTTAACCATCTTGTCCACATAAAGTGTTCCATCTAAATGATCACATTCGTGCTGAAAAATCCGAGCTTGCCAACCCTTCGCGTCCACTTTGATTGCTTGTCCATCTTGGTCGAGACCAGTAACCTCAACCTCTAAGTGCCGTTCGACTACTGCCCTAAATCCATCCACACTAGAAAAAAAGAAATTAATCCAGGAACTGAGTTCTGTGACAAATTACAAATGACCCCTCATGGTACTTGTAGAATTTGTATAAATCAAGATGGGATTTAAAATATTAAAAAGTATTTTCACCCTTTTCTTTTTCATATTAAAGAAAAAATGTTATATATGTTAATGGAGCTCTGGTTAAAAGAGCCCAACTTAGACTATGTTCGGTGACTAAATGAACTAGCTTATAGCTTATTTGATTAGTTTATAAGCTTCATGTATTCAAATAAGTTTCGTTTGGTAGGAGAAAACTTTGTTAAACAAGCTCGAGCTTACTTTATAAGCTTCTTTGGGTAGCTTAAGGTCGTTGAAATTTTTATTTCGGTTAACTTATCAGCTAATTTTATCAAACACTTTTATCATATAAGCTAGTTTTTCAGCTATAAGTCATAAGCTATATGCTCAAAAATCACTTATAAGCTGATAAGCTAGCTTATGAGCTATCAGCTAGATAGCTACCTTATCAGCTAATTTTACCAAAGATAGCCCTAATCATAATTATTCTTTAGAAGCTCATCGAGTCAACGATTTCTTCACCAAGCAAATCAATAATGCAGCTCCCAGCATAAAGAGAAGGCTATTGCCTAGCAAAATTATCCTACTCATCAACTCTAAAATTCCCCAAAGAAAAATCTTTGAATAATATCCTCTTTTGCCCGAGTTTTAATGAAAATACGAATATCACCTTAAAAAAATGGACTTATCCATTGTTCAATGTATGCGAGATATATTAGGGACTACAGATTTACATGTGCACAACAAAATATTTCAAAGTTTCAAACAATTTGCCTATATCTTACCTCAAACACCCTTCGAAAAAGAAAGCTGTTCGGTCACCCTTCTTTACCAGCTTGGGGTTAATCACAACCTGTGCACCAAAAGGTCATAAACTTCACCATACAACAAAGTTCCTACTGACATTGATCATATTATACATTTCCATATTTTCACATACCAAAAGATCGAAAGGCCGCCGGTCTTGTGCCTGAATCTCTTGCTTTGGGGCATAGCTTATGTACTCTTTCGTATCTTCTAGAACGATTATCTGTATCCAATGTTACAAGGTAAATAAGAAAAAGGGTGGACACAATATGTTTCACACATTAAATTATTCGAATTTGCTGATGACAAAAAAATTATCTTTCACACTTCATTCTTCTTGATACTCAACTACATTGGCATAACAAACACTGTTCCAAATGACACTTATTTCACCCAGAAAAAAAATGTGATAAATTTGATTTCATTTACCTTTTCACTCACTTGGCTCAATTGAAATTATACAGAAACAAACAATTGAACAAACAGACTGCAATTTACAAGATAAATTCATATTAAAAAATAATCGGCACAAAAATATACTAACCCTCAAAGGAATCCCAATTTGAGGGGCAGCAAGGCCAACCCCAGGTGCCTTCCTCATGACCTTCACCATATCATCGATAATCTTCTGTATCCGCTCAGACCCGATTTCTTCGGGCCGGACCTCCTGAGCCGGCTCGTGGAGAACCGGGTCGCCGGCTTTCACTGTGTCCGGCAACGCAATCTTTTTGTCGCCCATGCCCAGGAACCAACCCGCACGTGGAGCTAAACCAGAGCTGTGGCTCCTTGAAGGGAACACTGTTTGGGGCCCTAATGCGGGCCTTCGAAGCCCGAAAATGGGTCGGGCAAGTGGAGCGGCTGTGGGAATTAAGCGGAGGGTGAATCTTTGGATGGTTACCATTGCTGGCAGAAAATATGCTCCACTTTCATTTTCCAGTGAAGGAAATGATTCATGTGAATACAGCATCTGGGCTTCTTAGATGGGCTTTAGTGTAAGCTCGGTCCACTTTCTCTGATCAGTTAACAGGTCGAGAAGGTCTAGTGGACTATGTTGGACTGGTACTAATGTATCATATTTTAACTGGGCCATCTGGAAGGGCACCCCAAATGTACTGGGCCATCCTAAATAAATGCTTAATCAACTTGTTAACAAATGAGAAAATTACTGATACATAAAATGTCATAAATCTAATTTACATATTATATGGTATCTAATTTTATTTGCAATTATATGGATTCTCTTCATAGGTTACAAAATAAATAGAAAGAGGCTATTAACCCTAGCTCGCGTCGTTGTCCAGGTCAATTGAGGTTGTCACTCTTCATCTTAGAACCCATAAATTTGGGTATCGATCCCCTGCCATAGACCGCGCGGGTGATGAAGACCCTTTCGAATTGTACAATAACAATTATGCATAACTTCCCCAGTGATTTCATACGGAGTGAGAATTATAGAAATCTTTTTTTCTTCTTTGAAAACTTAGAAAGAGTACACTCGAGTTGTCAACTGACACAAAAAGAGTAAGAACAAAGTTATGATCACCCTTCTTGGAATTACACAGAAGACCAAGAGGGTACATGCACCCGCAACAAAAAAGAACTCTATAAAGGAGACGAAACAACTCCATAAAGAAGACTAACAGTCAGACACAACTAGACTGAAATAGAAAAACTATAAGAAAAGCAAAATCAACTACAACATACACCTAATCGATAAAATAAAACTCTCCTCACTACCGTCCAACAACTCTCACCCTCCCCAACGAGAACAACAATCGAAAACAATCCCAATAACGACAAGAACACAGTCCAGACACGGATCAAGAAACTCTAATTCCATCACCCATTAGGCAAAGGCTAACTCATTCCAAATCGACATGCTGAGACCTCCTTCCACAACGGACCACCACCGAAAAGAAGCACACGGAGAACGGCACCCATCACCTCCCCCAACACCACACCAACATCCCCGACCATTCCCGACCGAAGAAGGAACAAGCCCCCGCTGGAGGAAACTGCTAATCTCCAATCCAGAGGACCGACGGGATCCAGGGGGAAGAAAACAGAGCCCAATCTCCGACCGCCAAGAAAAACTTTGAAATTTAGCTCAATTTAATTTTGCAACATAAGGGAGCGGAGTTACGGGGGTTGTTGCAAGGTTTGTTGCTCGCATGGGATTTGAGATATCGCGGAGTTATAGCCGATGTTGACAGTAAAGTGGTGGCGGATTTGGTGAATAATCAGGTCGAAGTCGAAGGAATACATCGTGGTCTAGTTCGGGCTACGAAGGAGGTGTTGCTTCGTGATTGGAGGGTGATTGTCCGACATGTTTATCGGGAGTCTAATGATGTTCATCATATTTTCATGCATTATGAGTGATATAGTGTGATGTTTGACCGTGTTTATTGTGGGATTGCGCACCATTTCGTTTGATTTATTAATC